ATATGTAGTTACGATTTTCAAACTGACTAAGGTGAAGAACAAATATGAAAGTTTCAAACATACACCGCGTATAATCTGTATATGCAGTATGAGACGCTATTCTTCATATATCACACAACTGTATACAAGGCTTTATCGGTCAAAAAGGGGAAAAATCGCCTGTTTCTAGCCGGCCTGCACATGGCAGGGTGTGGTCAGTTATCAAAAAGAAACGCTTTGCCATGCGGGTCTCTGTATCTATATCTATAAGGCTTGACAGAATTGAAAGCGAGGAAATTAACCAACAATATGGTTGTCATAATAATAGTTATCGTCATGCAATCAACACAGTTGGTAAGAGGAGGCAAACGATTTTAGGCGATAGGCGATATCGGTTGGAATTATTAGGTGGCAGATACCGAAATCGGTGATGGCTGGTTTTAAAGGTTTAACCTGTTAGTTACGTCAGGGTCATGACGATTTCGGGTCCAATGTGCGACCACTACGATTGTAAAGGTACTCATGGTAAACTAATTGTCTTTTTTATTATATATATATATATATATATATATATATATATTATGGCGGCAAAAGTCAAACGTTGACAAATAATGCCTGCTTGAGTCTTGCTATTGGGATGGAAGGTATCACCAGGTTCGTAATAAAAATAATTAGCTAATACGTTGATTACCAATAAGGGAAAGATGTTATATAAATAATATGCGGAAACGAGTAAAATGTTTTTTAGCTCAAAATAAATTTACTGTATATACGCATGTGTAGGCCAAATGAAACGATCTCACCCCGTCGTCGTTGATCGAAAGGTTGAGTCGAACCACAGTTTTTTTCTGTCAGTGAGCAAAACTCATTTGGCCAAAGAACGTCCATCCCTGTTTTTAGAAATTACCTTGTATAAAAGCGCACCATGTTTTCTTTTGTTTTGTTTGGGGAACATCTTTGACTTTAGTCATCACGGATGATAGCAGTAATTGATCCGTTGCAAAGCTGAGGGACCGCTCAAGCAATGGCTTGATTGTCCTTCAAATCATTACGGCTGCAGATGCAGCTATTTCTACAAACACATACAGATAGCCGGCATATCATAGGCATTATGGCTGTTTAAGAAATAGTAGCGCAATAGATATCAATCGTTTTGATGCACAATCCAGACAGAACTTTGCAGACGCCTATTTAAACCTGTCACGACCGCCAAAGCCCTGTTCCAGCCAAACGCACGCAGTGAACTTCGGCGGCGGCAGCAGCAGGACGGCAAAGTCATCCTTCTTCACAATGTGAGGCGTGTTCTTGGATCAACTACGTAGACAACTGCATTAGTAAAAATATAATCCGATGATGACGGTATTAACAAAAAGCAGGTTTATCTCACACAACATGTAGTAACTTGTTTAGCGCAAGAATATCAGTAGAAATTCACTTTGATCGTCTCTTCTTTTTTGTTCGGCTTTCCACCGCCATCAAAAACATAAAGTTCTCCTCGCTCGCTAGAATCGTCGTTACATTCCCATAGAATGCTTTAACGTTTGACTCCTGTGTTAATAACTAACCATTAAGAGGCATATATTTGTATCACATTGTTTTTGTCGGCGCGTTGCTCGTCGCAGTTTCGGTCGATTCAGTAACCGGCACCTACAGTCACTTTCAGCAATACCACGACAAATGCTATTTACTAAACGAGAAATCATCGTGTAACCCAACTTTTAGATGAGATGATTTTCTATTTACCTTTAATGCAAGCATGGTTGCCGTCCAGGTGGAATTTTCACAGTCGACTGCAACGAGCAGGTCTGTCAACTGGGTCGATTCAGCCAAACTTGCCTATCACTCACTAAATGGAGGTTGGGTCAACACAGCTGAACGTCATTGCGGAAAGGGAGCCACCTCGGCCAACGCGCGCCACTGTTTGAATTGAAGATCGTTGTATCGTGCGGTAAGTGGCTGTCGCAAGGACAAATCAGCGACGCCATCTTCGTTATAGCTACAGTCGTCTGCCGAGTCAGTCTATAAGCAAACTGAGGGACCTCGTCCACCTATCTGTTTGCATTTGTTGATACAGTCTGCCCACTACGAGTCAGACAGCTATCGTCGGTCGACTGAAATAATATAAGTTAAGTAGTTTCAATCTATTGACATGTGTCTAGAGAAGTAAGTTAACAGGTCAGCTCGAAAACCTGGAGATTTAATGGGTTCAAAATTGTTTACATTCACAGTCATCCCCACATAGCCTGGCCCGCGCATCCGAGCATCGTTCAACAGAGCCAGGCGATGCTCGCTTACACGCAAAATGGCCGCTTTCCCTTTTGAAAACAAACAAAGAAAGTGACCGTACAGCCGTGGTTGATAGCGTAGTAGGAGCGTATTTGTCTATTAACTTGGTCAATTAAGTTCGTGAGATGGTCTAAGTTCGAAACTGAGCATAAATACGAGGTTCGTTTAGGGTTAATCGAGCCAGCGAATACAGCTGTGCCTATCTATCAATATCGAACGTAAAATCTCAATGATTAATTAGGTATAGTCGCTGACAATTTCGTGGCTTGATGCTGGCTGGTACCGGCGTATCATTCGGTGGTTACTGTAGAAGTAAGTGACAAGGCCATTTTGTAAGTTGGCGCACAGGGTCTTTGTGGGCCATAGCAACGCTGTTTCATCATCTACCCAGACCAATTGTCAGTCTGTGTTATTTGTACCTTGAGTGGTGCGGACGAGGGTAAGCTCTTCTTACTTGAACGTTGCTTCTTCTTCAGTTTTGGCGTAACGTCTACGTAAGAGAAACAATCGAATAATTTGAGTTGCAACGCGCCCCTACTGAGCGCTGGGCCTTTTTTTGGTACGTTTGCTGTCGATGACAATGGATACTCGTAATGGTACGCATGTTGAATTTTCAATACAGTAAGACAACGACCGGTTGCAGTAAATAGGATCGTTCATACTTAGAAAGAGCGTGAATAAATTGTCATGTTCTTAGTAGCAAGACATATGGCTAAAACAGCATTAACCGACGAACAAATCAGATAGAAGCGCCACAGGTGAGGAATGAAATGAGGCCATACGAAGACATGGCGTGTTCGTGATGATCGGCGTTTGGCAAGTTGGACTGCAGAGTAAATTCGTTTGTATAAGCAGCATGAGAAAAGTCTTGTAAATACAATTGTCGCACTTATTCGAGCGGGAAGCGTAGTTACTATGGTGCGAAAAAATGCATATCTCCATTGATCTGCCTGTTTTATCGTATGCTAGTAGATAGGAATTAGAGACGTATGCAACATGTTGCGCTATGATAAGCGTTTCTACACCCGTTGAACAAAAGGGCACGTAAGACTAGTCAGTTAACTTGCCATAAATCGAGGTACTTGCTCATCATGACTCGATTGCTAATGTATCTGTCACACAATGGAATCACTTTGGAACAGGGAACTGAGTCCCGAACGTGAAGGCTTATTGAAGCGACTTCAACTTTTGCTTATCTATACCCGGATTTAAGATGAAGAGCGTGTCTATCATGTCGCAATTATTCCTAACAACTTTGTTTGGGAAGAATTGTTTGGGAGTAGACAATGTTGTGCCTCTTTTCTATCGCAGTCTAGAAATTGGACCGTTCAATAGCACGATCCCTTCCGTTAGCTACAATAGAATAGGTTCATATGTTAAGCATTATTTGTGGAGTTTTCCTTATTAATACGCTATTATTCATATATGGTATTATTAATACAATATCTTTACGTATATCCTTCACGTTAAAATTTCGTAGTTTGGGAGAAGCCATCAGTAGCCTTAGGAGGAAAAGTTAATAGGTTATTAACAGACGTAATCTACGCCTGGCGAAAATTCGCAGAAATTTGGTAACGAACCAACAAATCTGTCTTCTTAATAAGCGAGGAAAAAGGTGTAAATAACCTCATGACAACTCAACGTATTGATTCGACAAAGCCGTTAATAAAACCATCTTTCATAATAATCTGTTTTTGCTCTAATCTACGATCGTTTTAGGACACCTTTTTAAAAGGGCATACCGATCACAGTAGGTTTGTCCCTTAATTTTCAATAGTTGTAGGCGGAGTGAGATGGTCTACTTTATTCTCTTGTGTTGCTGACCTGTGAACCTATGCGCTGTCCTCGTAAGCGCCCATTGAATTACAAGTGAATGGTCCCGTCTTAACGTGACTGCCCCCTCAGTATCATCGATTCCAGCTCAAATCTACGATAATGATAATATGCTATCATTGAAATATTACATTCTAGCACGAAGTGCTAAGGCTAAAAGGCAAACGCTATGGCTCTAGGACTCCCTTTTTTCAAAATATGCTTAGGACGGCCGCGGACTCTATTACAGGTAACGTAGGCTTTGGATCTTTACCAAGCATCCACCATCTATATGGCGTTTCCTTTAAAATTGTGGTTATATTGTTAATGTCGCTTACTGTAAGTAGCTGAGTTGGTATCAGACAATCTTTACTTACGTATATCTGAATAATCTGTAACTAAGGTAGTCTGTAGATGCAAACGATTTGAATGCATCGTGCACACTGGCGTCGTTTTATGTTAAAAAAAAAAAAAAAAAGAGATGGAAATATAAGAACAGCATACTTGCAATTACTCGGTATTAGGTACACATAGAAAATATGTAATATATAACTACTGCTTTGTGTAAATAAGAGTTATTTTTTAAGAACAAAGCGTTTATTAATTCTACAGAAACAATGCATTTCGTTAAATCGTCAGCAATATGTTTGAATCACTTAATTGATATACGTAAACGACGATAGCCATCGACTCTCTCACAAATTAATATACTTTTCTTCCGCTTTACTCAGATCTTCAATGAAGTCTTCTACGAGACTTGGCTGGCTTCCTTGTTAACGTTAATCCTATCTAGCGTAAGTTAGGTAGTCGGCGATAACCGAAGCGTGTGACACGTCAAGTTCTCGGGCGGGTATTCCATGGAGTGTGAACTTAAATCGAAAATAGGGTTGGCTCCTTAGTCGTTCATCATCGACGAAATACATGACAGTTTGCGTGACTAGTACATTACACACATATATATATATATATATATATATATATATATGTTTGATGTACCGATTGTAATTAATTAAAACATAAGATCTATATTCATCGACAAAGTCATTTTCCACTGCTTACATATCATTTTCTGAATCACGAGTTCCCGTATAAAACATCCAGTTTCTCTTAAAGGTCTACACTGGCTTTAGGATAGTAATCTTAATTCTGAGATCTCTGTCTGTTGTCATTTTCTCTTACTAAGTATATAATAATATATATTAGTGCCAACTCACGTAAAAGCAATATAACATTTGCGGTCTGGATGACAGGGAATAGCTCCGTGGTGTAAGTGCATCAAATCTTCTAAGAATAATGGTAATAGTTCAGTGCTACCACGCTCGTCTACTAAGTTTCGTGAAAAATGGTAGTTTAAGTTTGAATTCGAATAGACATTTCGCGCTGGGAGTCAGTTGGCCGAAGTAACGTCTAACAGCTTACGTAAAACTTAAAACCTATTAGTCCCCTGCCACTGGAAACATGTTGGACTTCTGTTGCTATCACGGCTTATCGCTGTAAACAATCCAGCGTATCTGATGCTTGCTAATGAGGTATCTACATAAAATAAAAATAGGTGAAGTGTTCCTCTTGAATTAAGGTTTAATCAATTGTGTTTGGTAACGACGATTAACTATTACAGTTACATAGAGCTCACACTATCTATAAACACAGACAGACAAATCTTCAATACACAAATAATACTTTCAGCATCCCGGCTATTATATATATTGTAGCTCGTTTCCAGAACAGATCGTAAAAAGTATCCTCAAAAACAAATAGAAGTTTGCATCTGTTCTACCAATTATCCGTTGACGCGAAAAAGACTGTGTTACTTGTTCGAGCTGTTTCTGACAAGAGCAGATCTCGCCTTATCCGTTTTGCTCACACCGACTCAAATGAGAATCTCGCTTATTTTATCCATAAAACGCTTCATGTCGCCTCAGAATTATTCAGTGTCTTCACTAAATCCGTGTCTGCCAAATCTATTCTTAGGCAAACTTTTTGTTCTCAATCTTCGCTCTTGTATTTTCCGGCCTCGTTAGTCATTCGCTTGATTTCTTCGTTGGAAGGTCCATCGTAGTTGTGGGTGATGGTTATGTTCCCGTACCTACCGGTCGTCGTTTCGACCGCCGACACAGTAAAGATTCCGTTACCATTTATGCCGAAACTGATTTTGATAGGCAACGCTTTATAGTTGGGTGGTCGACTGACGACAAATTGGCCACAGAGGTTATAAGCGGCCATCTGTTCGACTTCAGTGGACATTTTACCGGCCGTTGTTAACTCTAGACAAAATAGAGGTCAATCTCTACCGTTAAGTCTTTAAATCCGATGGCAAGCGTAGGTAGCGTCACGTCTTGAATACTTAAATTCAATTAAATTGAATTGTTGTGACTTTTCAGCATCGCTGCCCACACCAGGGGCTACAGCCCCGTTCTAATTAAGAGATTGATTATACTGCCAATTTTTAAAAATATTGAGCGATATTTTGGAGATTACATGGAGAGGTTACATGGAGTACGTGAGAAATCGTCAAGCAAATAGACGTCATGTATGTACCCTTCATTTATATCGGCGTCATCTAAAACTTTTGTGACGTGTTCCAAGGTGGCCTGGGCTAGATTTTCGCACAAGCCCTTCAAGCAACTAAGTTACCGTGATGATATAGTCGATGCCTTTATATAACGAGTAGACATCCATCCGTGCTTCTCTGTTTTTTTGGCTCGTTAGCACATCGTTCGTAACCGTCTTAGCAAGCGCTTGTTGAAAGTTGGTTAGAGGGAGTTCTCGTTAGATTGAACTGCTATACGTCGTTTTAGTGGAAAGTAGTCGGCTATACGGCTGACTTTTCTCCATCGAGATCTATGTCTTTGGCAGCTGCGTGGATTGTGCCTTTGCAGCCGTTAAAAATGTCACCACCTACGACAACACAAGCTCATTATGGTTGACTACATGTCTCTGATGAAGTGCACAAGCAATGTTGGCTCACTAGCGATACATAATATGAAGCCTAGAGTAACTGCAACGACCTTGATAGCCTGGTTCTGTGAATTGCTAAAGTAGGTAGGCTTTGAAATAACTGTGTCACGAGCTTCACAATTCAATTCTTTCAACCATTTATTTCATCTTCGCAAAGACTGTCGGAGACATTTTCTTCGGAGACTGATGTCTTGCGCTCATTTTCAACCGCTAGTTGGTACGAAGATATAGTACATTCTATTTTCTTAAACCACCTACTTACCGAATCGATCTATTATGGATTACGCTTTGTTTTTTTTTCATGGAAAGCTGTGTTAGTTAGATTCAATGCGATCTGGCTCAATGCAATATCACCAATAAGCCGCTCTTTGGTAGTACAGGCGACGTATGACAGTGTTATCCGGTTTTTCTGTCCACTAGTAATTACCCGAATCTTTCCGTTACGGAATACCACGATTCCAATTTCCGGGTATTGAAATTGCTCCAACCTTCCTAGCTCTTTCTATTATACTTGAAGCCTGTTTTCTTGCAGATCAGTCAGAAAGATACTAGATAGATAGATAGATATACTAGATCGTAAGTAAAACATGTTTTAACAAACATGTACTTTGGTATTTCTTCTAAAAAATTTGGTATTTAGAAGAAATACTCTTTTACGAAGCAGATAAAAAAGCAGATAAAAATAGATATTGTATATCTATTTTTATCTGCAATACTATTTTACGAAGAAGGAAAAAAAGCAGATAAAAATAGATATTGTAAATCTATTTTTATCTGCTTTTTTTTCTGCTTCGTAAAAGTATGTTGTATATATACATGATTTTACATAATACATCTGTATTATGTGTGTGCGTATATATATATATATATATATATATATATTCATATTCATAGTATATATATTCATATTCATAGTAAGTAGTAGTATAGTACTAGTACGTAGTTGATTTATTTAATAGATATTTTCTACTTTCTGAAAATTCTAAACACCGCTGTTAGGATTCGCTTATTTTTACTTCCGTTAAGTATCAAGCAGGTATATTTCCAGCCCTGGGCAAAAGCGGAGCCTTGTTATCTTTCGGAAATAAGTGACGCACACGACGGCCGTAGGTGATTCGGGTGCTAGCGTCGGCATAAATGTGACATGACGTTACGCTACGTTGAACACCAGCCCTAACCTACCTACTGTTTACTGATGTCCTGTTTACAATGTCAGCAGTTCTCAGTCCTTTACTCAGTCGACCTCTTCAACGGTCGGCCCCTGCGAAGCACTGGTAGCGTCACCACTAAACTCCTTGCTCATTCCGGCAAACTCGGAACCTCCGGTTGGGCCTCCGTGAATTTTCGTCATTAAAGGCGCGGCTACCTGTTCGAGATCATTGCGTCGTTGCTCGAATTCCTCTGTAGCCGCCAACTGATTACTGTCAATCCAGGCCAGCGTCTCCGTCACCTTCTCTAAAACCAGTTTACCCTCTTCCGATAGTTTCTCCGCTCCGGCACCTTCAACCGTTGACTTAACGGTGAAACAATAGCTCTCTAGCGTGTTCTTCGCGGCTATACGAACCTTCTGTTTGTCATCCTCGTCCTTGTACTTCTCTGCTTCCTGGACCATGCGCTCAATATCTGATTTCGACAGGCGACCTTTGTCGTTGGTGATCGTGATTTTATTCTGTTTCCCGGTCGACTTATCTACAGCGGAAACATTGAGGATGCAGTTTGCGTCAATGTCGAACGTCACCTCGATCTGCGGTACACCCCGCGGGGCCGGTGGGATGCCGCTCAGGTCGAACTTGCCCAGCAGATTGTTATCTCTCGTCATTGCCCGTTCCCCTTCGAATACTTGAATGGTAACAGCGGGCTGATTGTCTGCGTAAGTACTGAATGTCTGCGTTTGCCTGGTGGGTATCGTGGTGTTACGCTTGATCAGAGTCGTCATCACACCACCAGCGGTTTCGATCCCGAGAGACAATGGTGCCACGTCAAGTAATAGCAAGTCCTGCACTGCTTCTGAAGTATCTCCGCTAAGAATAGCCGCTTGCACTGCGGCCCCGTATGCTACAGCTTCGTCCGGATTGATCGACTTATTAAGCTCTTTGCCATTAAAGAAATCCTGCAAGAGTTTTTGAATACGAGGAATGCGGGTAGACCCACCTACCAGCACAATGTCATGCACCGAAGCCTTATCCATTTTCGCGTCGCGCAAAGCCTTTTCCACAGGGTCTAGCGTGGAACGGAATAAATCGGAGCAAAGCTCTTCGAAGCGGGCCCGTGTTATCGAAGAGTAGAAGTCGATGCCGTCAAACAGTGAATCTACCTCTATCGACGCTTGTGTCGATGACGACAGCGTCCTTTTTGCGCGTTCACAAGCTGTTCGCAGACGGCGCAGCGCCCGCTTGTTCGTCGACAGATCCTTCTTGTGCTTACGCTTGAACTCGTCCACGAAGTGGCTAACAAGTCGGTTGTCGAAGTCTTCACCCCCGAGATGAGTATCTCCTGCTGTCGATTTCACCTCAAATACCCCGTCTTCAATGGACAGAATCGATACATCGAATGTACCACCACCCAAGTCGAAAATGAGAACGTTGCGTTCTGCTGCTGCTTTCTTGTCAAGCCCATACGCTATCGCGGCTGCTGTGGGTTCGTTGATGATTCGCAACACGTTCAGTCCAGCTATCGCGCCTGCATCCTTAGTCGCTTGTCGTTGCGAATCGTTGAAGTACGCCGGCACCGTAATAACGGCGTCCGTTACGGTCAGACCTAGATACGCTTCAGCCGTCTCTTTCATCTTTACTAGCACCATCGATGAGATCTCTTCCGGATAAAAAGTCTTTTCCTCGCCCTTGAAATCGACTTGGATCTTTGGCCTACCGTCGACCTTAGTCACTCTGAACGACCAATGTTTCATGTCGCTTTGTACGGTTTGCTCTTCAAAGCGTCGTCCAATCAAGCGTTTTGCATCGAACACAGTGTTCGTCGGGTTCATCGCCACCTGATTTTTGGCCGCATCGCCGATCAGCCGTTCCGTATCCGTGAACGCCACGTACGAAGGTGTCGTTCTATTACCCTGTTCGTTTGCAATAATCTCTACTTTCCCGTGGCGAAAAACACCAACGCATGAAAACGTCGTGCCCAGGTCGATGCCGATTGCTGGAGCTTTCAAGGTCATTATCGTCGATTTTCGACTTCTATCCTAGCTCAATCAATAGATCTCAGCGGCTTGCTTTTCCACTACCGCACTTCACAAGGACGGTCAGTTCGTACCGCTTCGTTTACTAATAGCAATGACTTGTTGCTGTACCAACCGCTGGTTTTATCCCAATGTCACAACTTCGTATGATCGCTAACGCAAATTGTCTATTGACCATATATAAGCGCAAGCTCCCTCTGGTGAGCGAGTCAAACGAAACTGCTCGATCCGGAGCGAAACTCTTAAAATATTCAGTAAGAAACCGATAGAGGTGTGATCATTTTTACGGAAAGTTGCGTTCTGAAAATTTTTCGATTACATCTCATTTAAAAATTTTGCGGCGTACCCCTGATTAGCTCATTAGTCGACATGTTCTAATTCGCTTTTCTTGCTGCATTGAATCCCCGAAAAGCTGGCTTCGGTCCAACAAGTTTCGTTTATACCTACCGCAAAGCCTCAAGATTTCTCTCGAAGTTAACAATGTTATAACATAAAAAGAAAAGAAAAAACATTAGAAGCAAATAGAAAAAAAAAAAACAAACAGAATGATGTGAACTACGAAAAGGCATTTGTGGTTCTTGGTATATAGTATGTGGTCGTATGGTTACCTGCTATTTATGAAGGAAGAGGCGTCTAATTCGCACGAATCAATAGTACCACTGTGTATGCGTACCCTATGTGGATTTGAAAAGATTATTAAAAAATTTTGCTATGTGAACTTAGCTCGTGTGCGCATATCAGTACGCCATTACACGTTGAACTTTGCTTACCAACTGATGTTTACTAGCTAAATCGTCCTGTAAAATATTGTCTCACACGCAATCCAATTAGTTTCTGAAAAGCTTGTCCGGTTCCGCTTCTTTAACCATAAGCCCGGTGCAATATTATGGATATATAGGTAGTTGTTAATGGTGTAAAACGCATGTACTCCGTGGTTAAGAATGAAACCCTTGTCTCCCACCAACCTTCGAGTCAGAATGTTTACCTAGCAGCAATTTGATTTTTGCCTTCAAAACTCATTGTGATAAACGATGCGCTCATGACTTTATATAATTTTCTAATTTTGTTTTTATGAACTCGTCTCTAGCAAAATATAAGAATGATGAGTCTGATATGAGTGTCATTTATTAAGCCCGTATCACAAACCTGATAGATTGACTATAAGGGTAACCTTAAAATCAATTAATTCACAGCATCACTGAATAGCGACATCGAAACATCGATGGGAGTTCACCAGTGTTTTCTTCTACTAAACGTGTGAGTTTAGGATAGGAGATAGTGAGCTTCAGGAAAGAGGCCCGTTTAGGTAGGAAACGTGGAACGAGCAAAGGTCACCTGTCTTTTTGTTTAAAACCCATAATCAAGTATAGTTTCGCCTAGGCTTGAATTTATTAAATTATCAAGCGATCATCAATTATAGAACTATTACTATGGGATCACAAAATCAGACAGGATGAGACCATAACTTAGTGGTCGCTCCAAGAGACCACCTTGAATTTTTGGTAGCCGGGCAGGTAGCGGAGACGACATTCACAGTATTATGCTGTTCTAAATTTATAACCTGCGTTCATTTTATGACAGCTTCTTTAATTAATGCTGCTAAAGTCTTTAACTGTAATAACTTTTCAAGCTCTGTTCATCATATTTTAAATGTGACATGATAGCGGTTAGTTATTAGCGGATTAGTTGTGCAAACGCGTTTTCTCCGTTTATTACCACGATAACAACGACAGCGATATTCACAAGTCATTCATTCAACCTAGATATTATATTAAAGCTCCATAAACTAGACACTCTTGCCGATTTGGGCTATACATTTGTGTCGTTCGTACTATGTACCAAATTGCACCTTATGCGTACATCATTATCAAATTCATTCGAAATGTCTGAACTCCAAATCCGCCGACGTTGGTCAATCCAACCTCACTCAGACGCTGGTCATTTGGCTTGTCACTAACGTCGAATCAACAGTCAGACGAAAATAAATAGCTAGGTCGCTCTATTGTTATGTGCTTGTTGCTCACGTCATAGGCCAGTCTAAAAAAACGATCTGAAGAATGGTCCCGTAAGCGTATACGTTGTCTGCCATTTTTTTTGCAGCTGTAATCCTGGACCTGCCAGGCTAACCCGATGCCTGCACCTCTCGTTCTCTAATTGCGCTTCAAACCCGTTCCTAAGCAACTGCTGTCGATACAACGGACGCAACGTTAGGACAGCCAGATCCCTACGGTAATCTCAGCATCGAGAATAGTGTGAATGGCCCCTTTGCCAACAAGACACAATGGCGATATCACATTGATGTAACGACCTCACATTTTAAGCGTTCATGCAATAAGTATAACTGGTTTCATTACTTGCATTTGCTGACAACTTACGTCTCTAGAAAAGTCTGTCTAAAAGTCAATAAATCGTTTAATAAACAATAATTTAACACCGCGCGGCTTGTGGCCACTTGTGATCTAGAAATCAAAAATGGCCTCGGCATAAGCGTTTGCGGATTTTAACCAATGACTAGATAAAGACCACTGCAGAACTGTTCACTGCCAGCTACTGTGTTGTTGGTTATAAGGCGAATTATGGTAAGGGGTAAAATTACCAAATGCACAGCTATGTAAACAGGGGGGTTCGGTAGAAGTTAAAAAGCTGCCTATTCGGTGCGCTTTGCATGGCTGCATGTGTCCAGAATATATAAGAGTAAATAATAATATTATGTTCTACGTCTCTTAGCTAAGTAGTTTGGCAGATACCAGGAGTATGCCAGGCAATGAGATGTAGCGCAAATACGACTTCAAATCAAACAACGATCTAACGTAGTAACGTAAAGTACTGATCGCATTGACGATGTCTTCATCTAAACAATCACTGCGCTACTTGTAGCCCGATTTAAACAAAGGTACCTGACGTAGTCAAGTCATCTTCGTCAAAAAGACTACTATCAGTTCTGCTTCCATCAGAATGTTATAGGACTCGTAATATCCCTATCGGTGTGCCCACAAAAATACTGTGCAGACGTCTCCAAGTAGCCTGCATCGATCCTTATCAGATGTAAATTTGCATCACTTTCAGACCAACCATAGGGCGCCGTTATCTCCTCCGAAGCTACTGGGCTTAGGTGATGTCTAAGGTCAACTAGGCACAGCGGAATTTTACTTACGCCATGGAACGCCTAGTGCATAGTTAAATGCTTGCCTTCGAGCAATTTTGCTAGTCTCGATTATCATTCGAGTATATCTTGTGACTATGTTATGTACGTAAAGTATTGCGAGCTAAAATACTCGGCGAACGTCTACATGATTTCCGACCGAGTTAACAAATTAATGTTCATCTAAAGAAGACTTCTAATTCCAACGTACCGCCCAGTGTATCATCTTCTTGTTTGTTTTTTTTTGTGTGCATTTTAGGTGTTCTGCGCTGAGCGGATCAACGGAGACGCAAATCTAAGTTCTCTGAAACAGTCTGGTCATCTGACGGAACGCCACAAAAGCTAATCAGCGATCAGAATGAAGAATCGCCGTTACGAAATTGGCGGTGAACGGAAGTGGTGGCAGGTATATTGCATAAAATTTGAATCAGTATATGTTAAATTCCAATTTATGAGACCCTTAAGGTGATTAGTATTTATAACTACGTATGATATTTAGAGCTGCGTTTGTAACGGTTTGAATAAGAAATATAGTTAAGATTCGCCCTATAATATTTGATAGTATACGATTAAATATCTTGCTACAGAATAGCAGGTAATTCTTTTACGTGGTAGTTTTTTCGATTCCGCGTTCACGGCAGCCTTAAAACAAGGCCGGAATGGGTCGAGATTAAATGTGCAGTTGCAGTGTTGGCAATGAGAAAAATTATAGGATTAGAGGCAAGGCAGAGAGAAAGTAAACCCGTTTTAACTCGTTTACCTAATTATAAACCTAATTCTTATTATTTTCTTGATAGATATATTGTTTAGCGTTGACCTACCTTTTTTTATTACCTCTGTATTAAAACACATACTGCACAGTCAAAAATTAAATAAATGTCGATACTTCTACGGCACAATTTCACTTCAATAATTACTCTACTAGAAATTACGATAAATGAACACGCAAGAAATATATTTAAGTGTTCGACTGGTATCAAGAAGCAGCACCGTCCATGCATCTGCGGACGATTTAAAAATAGGTAATTTCAAGAAAACTAAAAATCATTGATTTAAGTTATAATGAGTTCGGTGAAGGGACGGCGAAAGGTTTCAGGACCCACTGCAATCTCGAGATCTGAATCCTTATTATTATAAGTGGCAAATATTCTCATTACAGCCCTCGACTGCTCAAGAGTTGTATGCAAATTTCACAAAAGAAAAAACCTTCCACTGTAACCAGCATGGCTGGATACAGATCAGTTGATTGCAAGCATTTCTCAAGGCAACTGAAAAATGGTAGCATCGCTATCGATTTCTTATTAAAGCATCCAGCGCACGATTGAAGACTCAACATGGCGTACCTTACACCCACGATCGAAACTGATCCAGCTGCGATCGAAGTGTACCATACTATTTCATCAATTAAAGTACAAATGATTTTTTGAGCGAGCAGAAAAAACGAAAACACTCGTAGCATACAAAACTGTTAATTAAACATTTTTTTGCTGAGAAAGATTCCTCTGTGCTTCTTGCAAAAAAGAAGCCAATGGCTGAGATTTTTTTTTAAGTATTTAGTTGAACCATTTACGTAACGAATGCTCCTTCGATCTACCTTCAACCATTTTTTTAACTTCAGCCAGAGCACATTTTATACCAGAAATATAACAGAGATCATTTCGGCCGCTTTACGAGCAAGGTCTTCAATGGAAATCATGGTATTAAGAGGCTTCAGCTGTAGAACACGATCAATCGATTAAACAATAAAGAATACCTGAAGCGAATGTGATATAGTTATTTTACTGTAGCAGAATCTCACTGGTGCCCCTAGTAAGGATTTTCTCCGTTGTAGTTACTTGACTTTGTCCACATAATGTGCGGTCCTGTTACTTGTGAAAGAAGGACCGCGATTATTATTATTCCTATGTGAAAATAAATTTGTGGCTTAAGTTTAAAGCTGGGCGTGGAGGCAGTTTATTTCGTGATTGACTGCAGTACTGGACATAAAACCCGAAATATTTATTTTTATTCTGTACTTCAAAATGAACGTTTTCATATTAATTGTCAAAAATACATCTTACATCTGCTAAATGATTCTCTGTTTTAAAACGAATAATTGAA